GCGGCTCATTCGCTAGGCAACGGTAGGACGCCATCCTCCGGGAGGCTCCATATTGTCTCACTGTTCAGTCCCCAAAACTTCTTCTTCCATAAATAGTTCATTAACGGTGTATGTAAGTTCCACCATGTTTGTCACTACAACGGGACAGCAAAGTAAACTTTTTTAGCATTAAACTGTTATTATTTTATTGTCTAATCATCACTACATATAACACCACCCATCATCATTACATATAACATCATCCATCATCACTACATAAACATCAATCATCATCACTACATATAATACCATCCATCATCATTACATATAACATCATCCATCATCACTACATATAACACCACCCATCATCACTACATATATCAACATCCATCATCACTACATATAACACCAATATATATGTATATATATATATATATATATATATATATATATATATATATATATATATATATATATATATATATATATATATATATATATATATATATGTATTTATTTATATGTGAGTTATACAACATCTAAAGTATGATTTGTATATCTGAGTTTGCAGTGGCTGCACTCTATTACCAGGGGTATGTACTAACAGTAACTTCGGTTCATTATTCGACTAGGACATCCGGGCAGGGTTGGAAGCCAGCTTTTGCCGCTCCATTCAGACCTCCACACTAAAACAACTAAATCTGTCACTGTTGCCACTCGTGTTTGAGGAAGGCCGGCCCTTGGGCCACCTAGGCGTGAATTTTTTGAGGTGTAAAAACTGTCACCAACACAACAACCACAACCAAAATTAATGAGTTGCATGACTCGGTGTCAAGAAATAGTCAGAGAAAACCGGACAACTGCACTGGCTAACCATTAAGCCGGAACACGATTCGCAAACCGATTAACATCCAGGTCTCCAATTACTTGCCCATAGTTTCACCCTGCATTAATTTAGATTAATTTAGGTTAAGTTAGGTTAGTTTTTTAGGGTACAGTACTGCCCCATGCCCTCTTTAACCCCACGATAGCCCTCTAATTCAAAGCCTTACCCAATTTTGTAGACATCAAAATTGTTAGACGGAGGGGGGGGGGGAGATATTTCCCAAACCGCTCATTTTCACAAGAAATACCAGAGAGTAGAATTTATTCAGAATTAAATTATATATAAAAGTAACCTAATTTCATCCCGTAGTCCAGGTTTGTCTTAAGAATATCCTTATACCTTTTCAATTCCCCACCAGCACTACGTTTACTATTCGTGAGGTGACTGTAAATTACCTGCTTTGAAGCTACTGTCGTCCATGCGGGTAACATGGCCAACAAGAATACTGGCATTTGTTCTCTTGTCCTCCCAGCGAACTCGGAGGATGGAAAGTAGACTACATTGGTGAAAGTTTTCAAGTGCCTTGAGGTGCCTCCTATATGTGACCCATGTCTCACTGCCATATAACAGGGTAGGAAGGACCACCGCTCGATATACGTGTAACTTTGTAGGTAATTTCAGCTCCCTACAGCTTAAGACACGGTTTCAGAGTCTGGCAAAGCCTTGAGATGCACATCTGATCAGATGCTGAATCTCTTCATCGATGTCCGCGGTGGTGGACAGGTGGGAGCCGAGATGCCGAAAGTGGGTAACATTAGCGACGGTTGTACCATGACGCTGGATGAATGGTGGAGGTGTGGCTGAACCAGGGACAGGCTGAAAGAGAATCTGAGTCTTACGCACATTCACCTCACGGAAGAGGTGCGTATACGCATCTGCATCTGCGTAGGTGTTCAGGATCTCCTGTAGGTCGCGTTCAGTGTGAGCGACAAAGGTGAGGTCGTCTGCATACTGAAGCTCAGTAATGGAAGCTGCCGACACCTTTCTTCCTGCCTGGAGTCGTTATTTTGAATAGACCCTTCATTGGTACTCGATGTCAATCCCGTTGGCTAGATTGGCGCTGGCACGAGTAAGGAAGGCAGCCAAGAAAATGGAAAAGAGAGTTGGTGCCAGTACACACCCTTGTTTAACCCCCGTTTGTATGGGGAAGAATTCAGACTGGGTGCCATTGTGCAGGAGACTGCCGTTGATGCCATCATGGAGTCGCCTCACAATGGCGATAAATTTTAGTGGGCAGCCAAAACAGCTGAGGGTCCACCAGAGGGCTTTCCTGTTGACCTAGTCGAAGGCCTTGGTAAGGTCGATGAAAGCCATGTACAGGTTACGACGCTATTCTCTGCACGTTTCTTGTATCTGACGGGCAGCAAATATTATGTCATTGGTGCCACATGATGGTCTAAATCCACATTGAGATTCTGGGAGGAAGTTTTCCGCCTCAGGAAGAAGTCTGTTTAGGAAAACTCGGGTTATAATCTTGCCAGCCACGGGCAGCAGTGAAATCCCGCGGTAGTTGCCATAGTCAGACTGGCTGGGATTACATGAGGCCCTGAGGCTTTGTTATTCTTCATCTTGTTGATGGCAGTAGCTACCTCATCTAGGGATGAAGGATAGTTGAGATATGTCAGCTCTGGATGCTGAGGGCCCTGCTGGGTAGTCAGGACATCCAGTTTGATATTTCTCTTGAGCAGCGAATGGTAATGCTCCTTGCAGTGATGAAGGATGCCTTCTTTGTCTTTATTTAGTGAGTTACCGTAGGAGGAGAGGAAGGGGGCTGCGCCATGTGTGATTGGCCCATAAAATGTTTTAGTGGAATTGAAAAATTCGCTCATTTTGTGTTGATCTGTAAGTTTTTGTGTTTCACATGCTTTATTTATAAATCTGTCATCCTTTAGATTGTGTAGTTTGCGCTGGGCCGTCGATTGCCTCATGTGGAAGGTATCAGCTTTCGTCCAAGACTGAGGGTTGTTCTGCTAGTCAGTTGAAGCAGCACGTTTATCATCGACGAGAACATTGATTTCCTGGTTATTTTCATCAAACCAGTGCTGGTGTATTCTTTCAGTCGGGCCGAGGTCTCGTTGCAGGTTTTTGTCATGACAGTGACGAAAATATTACATTCTGCACTGGGATTTGGGTTGTTTGTTGTCGGGTTGTTTATTAGCCCATTTTCGAGCTGCTCTCTCAAAGTATGTGCTATCGCTTGATCCTCTAGACGCTTAGTGTTAAAGCCTCTTCTGAAGGCTTGTCACAGTGGTCTGAGCCACACATGGCTCGGATGATGAGGACATCTCGGCAATCTCTTTACTGTCAATGATGTAGTCAATGAGATACCAGTATTTGGATCGTGGGTGTTGCCATGAACCCTTGTACTTGTCGGCCAGCCTAAACAAGGTATTAGTGATAGTGAGAGAGTGTGTAGCACACTTGCTGAGGAGTAGGCCATTTGGATTATACTTGCCTAGTCCATTTCTCCCGTTGATTCCCTGCCAAATGTCAGCATCTCTGCCAACTTTGGCTTTGAAGTCACCCAGAAGCACAACCGTATCTTCTCTGGGGATAAAGGTTAGCACTCTCTCAAGGTCGGCGTAAAAGACCTCCAGTGTTGGGGCTTATGCACTGGTGAAGAAGTGATTCAATGGGACTCTGAACGTCATGAGGCGCTCGTTGATACCAGCAGGCATTTCAGTTAGCCTATGTAGGATACATTGGCGGATGGCACAGCCATCTCCATAAATGCGGTTTCTCCCCGCAGCAGGTTTACTCTCCCAGAAGAAAGTATAGCCAGACCCCCGTTCTGTGATTCTACCCTCGTCTGGGAACCGGGACTCACTAATGGCTTCTATGTTGATGTTATACCTAGCCAGTTCTTTTGCCACAAGGGTGGTCTTCTTTCAGGACGCTCATTTGTGCCAGTATCCATAAGGTTTCCCAGTCAGGTTGGTTCTTTAGGCAGGCTATGTTTAAGGCTCCTTTTCTAGCCCCCTCCCCATGTGTGGTGAGCAGGGTGGCTCCTCGAAAGGGCTGCTCTGTCGCACAGACAGGACTGGGTTGCATTTCTGTCTAGATCCCAGTGCACAAACGACCATTTTATCTATGCCGTCCATGTGCAGATTTGTGACAAGAGATTCCCGGCAGTCATCTCTACCTGTCCCAGTCACCACTCATCCGTCGCCATAGGACTTTTGGGGGTTTAGGCGTTTGGATGATGTTGAGAGGTATTATGTGCTGGATGATGGCTGCACGTGTGTTGAGTTTTGTGGTGAGACAGGATCGCAGGCTGCAACCCCATACCTTTGCTCTCCTTTTTCCTGATCCAGTGGTGCAAGTGTTGCAACGACTGGGGAGAGGGAGAGTTGCATTAGACTGCCGATTGCCCAGTTTGTTCGGTTTCGCCTTAGTAGCCTGTCCATCATGCATTGCCTTTGTCTGCCGGTGTAGTCGTTGGGTTCCCATGTTGGTCCCCTTTTCTGCCTATATCGCCGTTTGGGTCTTTTTGGATCTCTGTAAGCATGTCTTCCTCATGCTGGGCTCCACCGCAGATTTTTCGTTTGGGTTTTACTCCCGTAGCCGTATATCTACCTAAGTTAATCCGCAAGGCAGCGGGGCAGTGGTTGGTAGGCGCCAGGGCGTATCCACATGCCAGTGGGCCTATGCGCCGTCCCTCTGGGCCCACTGTTGCTACGAGATTCCCTGCTGGTCTTGCTTTGGCCCACGATGCACCCAGTTACCGTCTGTTGCCACGGGGAGGCACAGCAGGAGTCTTGATGGTGAAGAGGCTGTATAGTGGCAGGAAAGCACTTACGCATGCTGCTTCCTCGTTCGGCACGAGGGCTAGCAAGTGAGATGAAGCAAGTAGTGCTTGCTCCTTAACACTAACATAATGCTGCACAAAGGGTGGTACCCTTTGTTCACACACAAATACACACACACACACACAACCTGAACAATTTACACCAGTGTTACAGAGAGATATAGACTGGTAGATACTGTAGATAATTTTTACTTTTATTCTTATAAATATTAAAGTGTTTTTAATTATTGTATGATTAAGTTAACATGTTAATTATCATGTCATTTGTGAACGAGTGCAACAGCTGTATAATAATGTGACTGTGTCCTAACTCTCCTTCTTTTACAGCAACAGGATGCATCATCAAGGCCGCCACTGTCTTCAGAGAACAGCTTCGACTCTGTGGACACGGAATGTTCCTCCACCACGGACCTGAGCCGTCCTGAGGGTCTTACCACCAGTTTTGACTCCACTACGGACTGCCCCACTGACTCCACCAGTGACACCCACTCCCACCGCCTCCAGCAGATGAAGGCCGACAGCGGCTACAGAAGTCTGGAGGTCAACAACAGTCGTCCTCCGAAACTGAGCAAAAAGCAAATTCACTTTGTGGAAGATAGTTTGGAGGTTACTGAAATCGACATCGAAAGAGATCGTAGTCGGGAGAGACACAGAGACCCGGACTATTTGTTTGACTCCCAGGACGATGCTGGTGACCCGCAGAGTAAAAGAGAACGGCTGAGAAAAAGTGTGGCGCAGTTTGAGAGGCGTTGGGGCAAATCTCACTCCAAGAAACGAAGGGAAGCCCTTCGAGAGAGACATGCCTCTCTCGACACTGCCCTGGGAGGGTCCTTGAGTGGCCCATTCATTGCGGTTGGGGGCTCCCTTGAAGCAGATGCCACAACTACGGACGAAATCAGTGGGAAACGATCAGTTCTGGCGAGGTTCCTCCGTACTCACCGCTACCCGGCGGCTCATTATCGCCTGCTTCAGCGGGATTACTCCATCGACGAGAAATCTGACCGTTTATTCAAAGAATTCAGTCGTACGGAGATCCCACTGGAATGGGAGCCGGTCAGTCGGAGAGGCAGTCGGCTATACACCGGACGTCGCCTCCATCGTCACCTAGATGCTGAGGGATCACCGAGATCACACCGCCGCAAGCTTTCCCCTCAGGATTCTATCGAAGAGGAGGACCAGGTAGCGGCGGCGTTGTGGGAGGGCGACGTATCTAGGCCGGAATCTTCGGCGGGGTCCATTGGGTGCGAGGACATACCTGCCTTCGCTCTACCTGAGGAGGCGGAATGAATAAACTTGTCTATTCTCTCACATAACGTAGAAAAAAATTGAGTATAACTATGGAGAAGAATCCCACTGCTCCTCAACGAAGAGTTAAAAACCAAAACAGTAATCAAACGATATCCCATACATACAATAACAGTGAATAAAGGATAACAGTAGTTGTCCTGTAAAGGTCAACTGGACGAAATTGAAAAGTAATGGACACAGCCTAAAGAGAATGTCCTACTTGCTGCTACTGTTTCTATGATGGACAGCTTGTGAGTGATTGTGAATCCTCTTTGTATTACTGAAAGATATAATAGCATATCCTTCTCTTAAGAATCTCGTCGACTAGTCTACTATCATTAATTCTTCTTTACGAGTATGTGGAAAATGTGTTGGAGAAAACGACGTCAAAAGTTAAAAAATGGAATAAGACAATGTTTACACAATGCTTTTCCCAATTGACTTTTATCAGAATGACGAGGGAAAGTCTGTGTTACCTAAGTAAACGAGAGTGAGTAAAACGTGTTAGTAAATATATAGTAAGTGTTTAGCGAGTGTTTCGGTAACACTAACTTGGCTTCGATTTATACTGTAAAGCTCCAAGTGTGTTATAGTCTCAGACGCTGTTAATGAGAATATAAACAACAATGCAAATATTAGTATTACAACATTCATTACTTTAGTGAATGAAGTAAAACAGAAGAAAGGAAAGGATGAGAAAATAGAAGATAAAAGAAGATCTAGAACGTGACAAGAGGAAAGTGTTAACATGCGGTAAAGAATGTAGAGTGTAGCCGTCTGGCATCAAGGAACAAATCACTACTGATAAGGATACTTAGTACACATATAGAGAAGTACTGAATAGGTCCCAATTATAATTTTAATCTTACAAATTACAACCGAGAGATATTATTAGAGAGTACTTGCGCTACAAGGAGTGGTGGTAAACATTATTCCTTGTGGTGAGATGTAGGAGTACTCGGCAATACACATTTGTGATCAATTATAGCGTTAAGAAGTCTGTTTTAAGTGATAGATTTTAATCTACTAGGCCTATAAGTAGTGAAATATAAAAGCATAGAGAATCCAAGGCCGAGATTGTAAGGAATCTATAAGCAAGATGAACAGCAACCGGCGCCTCATAACCTGTTAAGTTGAACAACCCTTAAACTTATTCCCCTAGTATCGCTACTAAATTGATTCACAGTATATTGTGTTATAACACCTCGCAATAGATATGTTAGACGCCATAATTATCAACCATCGCTTCTTTGTTCTGTTTAAGTTCCTCAGTATCATCGGGCGCAACCGTTTGCACCTCAGAAGTCTCTTTTTTTTTTTCCAAGACCACTAAACGTTGTCGATTTTCAAAACTCAGATTCATAGTTTACATCTGTTCACAAACTTTCTCTGTGAGAAGACCGAGTTTATCGTCAAGAACCACTGACAGGGGACACTAAGGGTTTGCGGTGAAGCCTTCATCAGACATTTCCTTGACGTTCATCAGTGGGTCTTGAAGCAATGAGTGACTTCTCGAAAGCAAACACACATCTGTGATCAATCGGCTGCTGTCACTTGCGTAAGATCCATTTGAAGAATTGAGGCCTTTATGCTGCAGTTAATTTGTTCTGGTTAAGGAAAGTTATATTTCATGATGTCTATGTTCTTCATGAGCTGAGAAATGCAGAGCTGCACGCATGTGTAAATTCTGTTGTAGGTGTTGCATCGATTTGAAATTTCTACCAAAGGAAACTTTTGGACGCAAATGTGATGGAGAACAAGAAAAACTAGAGACAAATATCATGTAAGTCTTAATTGTGTGGAGGTACTCACCAATAACTTAAAATGAAAAGCCTCAAAACAGCAAACTCAATAACATACTGTAAGATATGCGAGGAGTGTTGGAGATACATCACTCTAAGAGCGCCCTAATAGTATATATAAATAGCTGTGTCTCTCAAGCGATTATGTTTAGATGCTCCCCTTCATTAGGTCAGGTTCATAGAGTCATGGTAACGCTGTGTTGATCTCACCCCACTCCGGGTATTCTTAAGCAGAACAAGTTAGTCTACAGTATGCTAACTAAGATAAGTTAGAAAAGGTCTTAGACAAGATCCCAGACACATATGAGTAGTTGGCTCCTTGTCGCTCGCTGCTGCTACTCTTGGTTTGCACGACCAGGGGATTCTATTCCTTCACGCATTTACTCTCGAAATTTTTTATATTCGAACTTCTTCTTTAACAAGTGATGATAAACGTGGTCATGTTGCATAAGGAATCTGATGTAATATTAGATAATTAGTTTAACAATAGAATCTGAGGTTGTGTTAGTGATATAGCTGTAGCGAGCGAAGCCTATTCAAAACAGTTAGGTCGAAAGTCATCCACAAAGTAACAGTTAGTAGAGTATTTTACTTACGTGGTGGAACCAAGGTGAAAATATTATTGAAGAGCTTGCTGGGTCACGGCAAGCGGGTCATTCACGTAGCAAGAATCCTGAAGATTTACGGGTTTATTCAACAGCAACCTGGTCAGTTCCGCCTGCATATGCCGCCACTCCCTAACGCGGTGTTAATACATAGTTTTAATGCTGCACACAGTCTACTGTGCCGTATGTTTGCTTCTTCAAGTTATTTTGGGTTTAGCTAACAAGGGAAATTGTGTTTATTAATTTTCTGACATAAATCTGTGTCATTAGTGCAGCGTCATTACAGTATTTAATAACCTTTCAAAATAATAAAGAATGAAGAAGGAATCTCCTTTATCTAATACATAGCAGAGGGTGAAACCTGTGTGTGAAACACCTCCAGGTGTTCACAGAGGACAAGTGTATATCTCCATGATGGCTGGGGTACGCTTATTGCTCTTGTTTCTATATTCAGCCTGATTAGTTAAAGTATAGACTCTTAATAGTTTGAGGTTTTTGTGCGTTAGCCAAAGTCAACCAGTTTGGTACATCTTTACATATTCAGTTACGAGGAATAATTCTCGTACGAACCTTTGTAAAGCTAGACCTTGACTAACTGTTCGTAGAAAACATCAGAGTAAAAAGAAATCACTTTTCTTCTTCCTTCTTCTACATTAGGTACTTAAAGATGTATGGTTGAATTATTTATCTAATCTATCACCTAACCAGTGTTGTCTCCACCTATTCTACTTAACCACGTACCGTGCTCCTGTACACATCCTCTGTGTGTGTGTGTGTGTGTGTGTGTGTGTGGAGCGATCCATCCATCTATATATGCTCCACTAATTTCGTATGAGGACAATAACATTGCTTTGATCGATTGTTAATAATAATGATTTTCTAAAAAGCTCATATATGACTGATTTGTATAACTTTGTTGTTAAAAGAACCTCTAATTGATCAATTAAATTTATTATAAAACACAAAAACAGTTAAGGTTAAAACAGTTAAGGTTGAAACAGTTAAGGTTTGCCTCTATGAAGTTAGTGTTGCAGGAATAGGATTATAAACGAGCGCATACAAGGGGAGATGGAGGTGGTGGTATGTGCAGGCGGGAGTGCCAAGGACGTAGCTGTACTTGCTTCTTAGATCAGGATTCTCACATACAGTAAAGTGTTTAGGTATACGCTCATTTAAGTGTACACGTTATATACAAAGTACCCTAATGTTATCATTATTTACAGATACCCCGGAGGAAGTCACAAAATGTAAGCTTGGCTACATACTTCATCATTTTCTCCATATAGCTGTATTCTTCACCATGTACGCTGAGACGTAGACTTAGAGGCGACATTGTAATGAACGCACCGCAGACGGCCATGATGCGTTCTTTACAAGTCCCCCCTTAAATGATGGAGTACAGACCCAAGTTTGGATATGTAACTCCTCGAATGCCTCTGTAAAATATAAACATTAGTGCACTGTGTAGGGCGACTATGATGTTGAGTTTGTGTCTTCACTAAAAAGGCTAAGTTGGATAGTTTCCTACACTGAATTTAATATTTTATTTTTCGACCCTTTTTCGAGCCTTAACTAAACAAATTATAATTTATCATCCAACTCCAAAATATATGTTTTTGTCATGTTTATATTCAACGTTATTCTTTTCATTTGACGTTTTCTTCACTAACTTGAAAACATTGTCAGTCGCTTAATACTCAGCAGGATGTGGACATGCTCACACCCGTTTCAATGTACACTAAAAAAAAAACACACTTTAATCCTGGATTGATTTTCCTCTTTATGTCAACGTAAATATACTCTTACAGTGACGACACCAGCGGATCACGAACCTTGTTTAGGGCGTCGAGGAGGCTGACAATGCCATGTCTCCATACCTCTTCTGATTCTCCAGCTCAGATACTCACTTGATTAGCCAGCAGTATGTCAAGTTGTGACAGCTAAATATAAACAGGAAAATTATAGTGACAGTTATTGTCTATTCATATCTCATAAAACCGGCCACTAGTTTCTTAACGTTAAATTGGCTGGATAGCTTGTATCCTAAGCCCTTGCTATTCAGCCCTGAGTGTTAAACGCATCTCATTATTATTTATGTCGCTCATGGTCAATATATTCCAAGAACTGTACGAGGAAAGATTTTCGTAATTAAAGATGAAAAAGACACCTAACTAGTTAACTTAATTTGAAATATAATTATCATCAAATTTACACCGATACATTAATTGGATACGTTGATTTAACATTAATTGGCAGACGAAAACAGAATTAGATAACACCTGGAAAGAATCGATACCTTACTTTGGGTATCTTAACCAGTACTAATTAAACGTATCTAATTAAGACCGAGTCTCGGCACAAGTTGACGTTATATCATTTTTGTGCTTTAGCTCAACTCGACCAGTTAGATACATTATTACAACTTAAGATACGAGAAATATTCATAGGTAAATTACTGGAACAGTAATCACAGAAGGTATTTAAACATTCAGTAATTATTCTCATTAAATTTGTGTTTGAAAATATATAAACTTCGCCTTTACCAAATGAAACATACAGGGGTATTTATGAAAGGAAAACAGAGCTGAGTTAGGAGAGTCAGAACACGGCATGGGATACTGTACACCCCTTCCATTCCAATTTGTTTGGTTCCTGTTTGCTTGGATAAGTTCCGTCTGAGTACAGTTCTGTATTTGTGGAACATTGATAATAATATTTCATGGCCCGTGACAGTGACATCGTTATTATACTGTACTATAGTTGTGAAAAGCATCTGTGTACATTATGACTTATGCTCAGACAAGAAACTTAAACAGGCTGAACATTTTAACCCGACCCAAATTCCTTAAACGTCTGTTCGTAAGTGTCTTCTCCCGATCGAGTGACTTGCTATACGTGCCAAAAATTGACTGGTCTTAAACTTCACTTGAGTACATTGATGTGCCAGTCTTGTAAAAACTATATTTTCTTTCCCGTTTCTGTGTTTCTGATCATTTGTTCTAAGTAGACTAACTAGTCACACACCAACTCAAATCCTCTCACCCATGCATGACAAGTCCAAACCCTCAGTTCAGCGGCTTTAACAGTTAACATATGCGAATACTCTTAAATAGGTTCTGATATACGAGTATTTATATATATATATATATATATATATATATATATATATATATATATATATATATATATATATATATATATATATGCTGATAACCACAAGGGAAGAAGAAAACACGAAGTTCCCAAGCGCTTTCGTGTAATTCACATCTTCAGGGGTAAGGACAGACTGACTCACCCCTGAAGATGTGGATTACACGAAAGCACTTGGGAACTTCATGTTTTCGTGTTTTCTATTTGGTTAACAGCATATACATGGATTACGCCGACGTACAGTGATTTATTTGCATATATATATATATATATATATATATATATATATATATATATATATATATATATATATATATATATATATATATATATATAAAGTAGTACACCCACTTCAGATACAACCGTTGACCACACACACACACACACACACACACACGTAGTTCTGTTCATTTTCTTCATCTCAGTGGACTAACACAGTCTCCCTAGAGTTAAACGGAGCCTGTGACGAAATAAATATCTGACCCAATAAGGACAACGTGTAGTTCCCGCTGGGTATAGCATATAATTTTTAACCTCCAGTAGATGTAGCGTTAAGGACGTGCTGAAATTCAGTGCTCTTTTATAACACTCTGTTATCTCCTGGGCTGAGTGTGGTTAACTCCATTGTGGATGAAGGAGAAGAAGAAGAGAAAACTGTAAAATAGGAATCATGTCTTTCAGCGTCAACAGTCATTATCCAGGTAACTGTGAAGAGACAGTCAGCCTCTTATACCGAGGCTGGAGTGTAGTGTTATAGCTCTTAACCTTCACCATTATGACGCCTTATAAACTTTATCCCTGTTTAAAAGTCTTTCCTGTTCTCCTCAACACTGACTTCCCAGCGTTGAGGTCCCCCTTTCTAGCCTACTCTAGTACATTGTACTTTTACTGCTCGCCTATTTTATAGTCTACGATCATCAACTTCCATGTGAAAATGTGAGATAAAATCATCTTTAGGAGTTTCTGATTTTTTTTACCCTAAATGTATTACATTAGAAACACCCACCACAAAATCATTCAATAGTAACCTTAAAAAACGTAACACATACATAGTTTTCCAAATGTGTGTTTTTTTATTGTTATATCACCATTATGATGTTCCATTAATCGTCCTTTGTTTTTTACCATTCTTAATCTAGCGGATCCTGAATCGTCCAACACAAATTAGATTGATTAAAATTATTTATGGAAAGGAAAATAATTTTCTTAATGGTATTGTCCTCGCTCATATTCAATTGTAATTTACTGTTATAATTTTGGGGGGTTATTTTTATTTGGTTGCATCCAAAAATCCTCAAATCAAAATCTGGTGGTTATATTTCAAAACTACAATATGATCTAATGTTAAAATTAACAAGTAACATCAAGTATCATGTTTTAAACTTTACGAGATACCAGTAACTACATCATGTATCATGTTTTAAACTTTGAATCATTGGTAACTCATCTTTTGTGATATTATATATATATATATATATATATATATATATATATATATATATATATATATATATATATATATATATATATATATATATATATATATATATATATATTTCACGCCTCCATCCTCTCTCACCCACAACGGAAACTTCTCTGTAATGCTGTTTCTCGTTAGTGATTTTATTATACTGTTCTCAGTAGATAAATACAAGAAATATCATACAATCAAACACAACCTATATCTAGAGGGGGTTTCAGGGGGGAACAAGGCTCTTCCATTCCCAGGGCGATGAGGCAAAGTTCAAGTTGGACTGTCATTTGAACATTAACCTTACCAACCAACGTGTGTAAGCCTCGTCCTACCCCTGACCCTTGTATCTCTCCTGCCTTGATTGTTGAACTACCTTGTTAGTACCTTGAAGAAAATGTTTATATATATATATATATATATATATATATATATATATATATATATATATATATATATATATATATTTAATTCTCCAATTGTTTTTAATTGAACAAAACAGATGTGGATGAGAGAGTGCAATATGAGCCTAGGTTTAAGGTTATTTATGTTCTCTTGTGTTTGGTCAGTATCTGGTCAGAATTCACAAAGATTCTGTATGTTAACGTATTCCTCTACTAACAGGTTTTAACTGAACGTTATTTAGTTAACATAGTCTCAGTTTTTATGCCATTTTGGACATTATTTTAGTGCCTCAGCTTAAGTCAGCCACTTGCATGAGTTCTTACACCTCCAGTTATGAGGAAAAATTATCGTACGAACCTTTTAGAATTTTGGACCTGGTGGTAGGTTCCCAGTAGACACTGCGTTATTTCGAAATTGAAACACCGTTGTGTGTGATGTTTGTATATGGTGCGTTGTGGCCGCCCGGCAGCAGCTGAGGTGGAGGACATTGAGTTTACACCGTAAAACTAATCAATATACTTTAATAATTTCTTGCCCAGTGTGGGTTAAAACTATTATCTACTCCCACCATTAATGACTATTACCAAGCTCCTCACATGTTAAATTAATATATTGTCCTTACTTAATGTCTTTTGTTAATTTTTCCGACAATTGGTAAGATTTATTTTTAATTCCTGCCGTCCGTTTTCGTTGCATAAATAATTAATAGTCACGAGTAAGAAGTTTTACATAATTTCGTCGCCCCCTGCCTCAGTGACCGGTGGTAGCTGTCATATGTGTAATCAAACTATAAACATTTATTCTTCGAATCCTTTTTATACCTGTGTTCTATAACCTACAGAGGTGAAATAGAATAAGTAAACAGTTTTGACTTGGTGATTGTTTTCTGGGCTTTGATGGCGTAAGGTGCTCAAAGAAGGCACGATGTTGTGTGTGTGTGTGTGTGTGTGTGTAGAAAATACGTTTATAAAGTGTGTATGTAGCCCTCAAACCAAAAATTTATGCAGTGTCAACTTTAAACCTCTGAACTCAAACATGAACATGTTTAAGTTCAGAGTTTCAAATTTGGCACTACACCTGTTTTAAGGTGCATACACACGCACACACACACACACACACACACACACACACACACACGTTCCAAAAACAGCATCTTGTCATCTGTGAACGACGGAATAATTCCTCAAAATTATATCTTCAGTGTTTCTTTTAAGCATAAATGTGATCACTAAATGGGGTTATATAAAAAAATTTATTCAGTGAATGATAATATTATATACTTACATGTGTATTCACTTGATAAAGGTTTGCATAAATGGAGAAATCTTTACATATGTACTTACAAGCGATTTGCTAACATGTATATTCGCTTAATGCTTGTATACATGAACTGTATTCGCTATATAGTGGTATATATGAAAGTGTATTCTCTTAACGGTGATAAACATGGATGTAGAAACTATAACTAGTAATATACATCAGCATTGAGAGATAATACACATTAATATGTATGAACAGAATGGCTTTATATATATATATATATATATATATATATATATATATATATATATATATATATATATATATATATATATATATATATATATATATATATATGCAAGTAAATCACTGTAGGTGCGCGTGATCTACGTAGGTATATGCTGATAACCACAAGGAAGAAAGAACTTCGTGTTTTCTTCTTTCCTGTGTTATCATATATATATATATATATATATATATATATATATATATATATATATATATATATATATATATATATATTTATATATATATATATATATATGTGTGTGTGTGTATGTGTATGTGTGTGTGCACAAAGGCTTATTCACTGGAGAGTAATATCGGTAATATACTTGTACATGCATTTATTGACTTCTTCATTATAGGTGACTATTGTATTATAACATCATTTCTCTGGCTCAGACCTTTCCATAACTCCTTGACACACTTCTAATGGTCGAGCTTCACCGTGATGAAGTTCGCTATCTTGAAGTTTAGTCTTCTACAAGTTCCTACCCACTCATTTCTGAAACTGTGTGCAAAATAAACCCAACCGTTGAATACTTCCTTGTTTTATTTTGGTCAGTTTGACAACCCTACAGTACCTTATGTTATAATGAGGTGGACTGCTCCTCCACTGCTCCACATCAAATTCCGATGGACTATAATTCTGGACAAAGAGAACAGAAGATGCTTATTATCCCTTCCGGTTCTATAAACATTGCCCTTCTCCGCCGTACTACAGACAAAATCAAGGGGACACAATTAGTCTGAATAATAATAATAGACACTGTTGACTACCATCTGAAACCTTCTTGTAATATCTACATATTTATAACCTAGTTTAGTTAAAATTCATTGTTACTTGCCTGAATTGTCCTGTTCACAAACATTTGACGCACGGAAAGTGTGCATTCCTAAAACCCTTTCCCTGGACTGCGGAGGACCAAAGATAACTACAAACCAGTGCCGGATTAACCATGAGGCACTTGATGCACTGGCCTCAGGCCCCCCGACTCTAAGGGGCCCCCAAATCCAAACATTCTCGAAGTTGAAGCATATAAAACATGAACTTCGTTCAACGATGTCCTAGCAACGTCTCAATTTTCTGTCTCATGAACATTGAATGTGTTATTTTGCAGAAGCTTAATAATGATGAAATCATTGATAAATTTTGGTATATTTTGTTCTTGCTATATATATATCTATAACCTTGAGGGTAGGGGGCCCCAAGTTGATCTGTGCCTCAGGCCCCTATTAAGCTTAATCCGGCCCTGCTACGAACTATCGGGAGTGTAGACACTAGATGTGAAGCGTGGAGTCTTGTATATCAACACGACACGGGTGGTAAATAGGCGTCTTCTCCTCAATAACTTCACAGAGGAGCAAGTATCCTCCTAACCGGCTCAGGTAATTGATAATGGACCCGGGAGAGACAGCATAGAGGCTAGGGCTAAGAGTGTCCTAGCTGGCGTGCTGACATACAAGGCTAGGAGTGCAGCAGTTCACACCAACATGACCATGAATAAAAAAATATGCAACATTTAGAATATTGTCAAATTATTTTAGTAGTAACTATGTACATACATAGTAATTAACAGATTACACAAGACACCTTTAAAACACATATAACACCATAGGAACCATAAACCAAAAAC